CGGAACAGGACCTGAAGATCGCAAGGGCAAACGTTTACTAATTAATTTAGCGCGTTGCGATAAGGTCTTTCCTTCAGTAAAATACACCGCCAGTAAGGTTCTATGTGAATGTGAGGTAGACAATTGGCTAACTTGAACCGGTAGAGCACACTGCGAATAAATACAGTAGAAGCCGGCCGTGTAGACTACTGTTTCACAAATTCAACGATACTAACCAGTGTTAGAGGATCGTTCACCGCTTTGGTTACGGTTCGAAACATGCCCTTTTCGTGCTACTAAGCCCCGCCAAGATTTAGTGAATTACTGAGTAATTACAACTAGTAGACTAAAAACTGTCATCTCAATGTACTTATTTTGCTGAATAACCGAAATTATAGGCCACACAAAGTGTCTGAGAGAATCTATCCGAATAGAATTTAGTACAGTAGATGCTCGGGTGACCAGCGGCCCCATCTATGGGCATTTCAGGTAACGAGCGGGCCACTCGCAGACAATTTGTTTCGACTGACGAGCTTCCGGCCACTTAACAAGTTGTCCGCGCGTGTGTGTGTGTGTGCCTGTGTCCGCCGTTGAATCTTGCTCCAGGGCGTGGATCTTCGGTCACTTGCAGCCAATCGGTAAACTGATGTAGTTTCATTGGCTATGTTTCGCAAGACAAGCGTTTTACATGGGCTGGGTGCTAGAACGGATTAAACTCGTTAACTGAGGTTCCACTGCATATTGGTTTGAAAAGAATCCATAAAGTATACAATCCCTAAAGGGAGCTGCGTGTTTGACAAGGTCAAAAGTCCACTTAGAGAGACCAAAAAAATACCTGGTAACAGATCTCATCGATACAGGTTTGTTGCCCTCGGAAGTACCATCAACGCCTTCAAGAAAAGAACAGACTAGGCTACGGAATCGAAATCAGGTCACCGTGAATAGACACATTTTTATCAACAGTATACAGTTTGTATAGGCAGAATGACATAAAACAAGACAATGGAGACTAGAATGGTGACTTCTAGCCACCATCAGAAAGCCAGACGGAACCACAGCCTCTACGACCCCCCAAGATCGAATCCGCAACCTGTTGGTTAGAGGCCAAACGCCCTGACTCTTGAAACACGGGTTCTTTGTAATGCCAATTACGATCGAGTATATGTTAACAGTGACTGTGGGAAGGTCACCGATCGTCTTAAGGGACACGCCCGTCTCATTGTGTCTTGGGGCTCAATATCGAGGCCCGCCAGCAGGCACTGCATAAGTAGTGAATGACAGGCAGAATGAAACTGCCGGTGAAGATAAGGGATACTAGAATGGTCTTTTCTGGTTTATTAGTCATAATCAGCCAGTCATACCGAACGCCATGTTTTGCAACCCAAGACGGTCAGTCAGTGGGCACGTTCTTCGTCGTCACCCTCACGAGCTGTGTTAGTGCCCTCAATCCGACCCCGTTACCACAGTTAAGACGTCGAAGAGGGGGTCAGTTCAAAACCTGGCTCGATTCAGTCCGGCAGGACACGGGCCTTCAGGATTTGGCCTCTAGTGTTGACGAAGAGAATGGCCTAAACTGTCCAGGCCTGCTGCCATGGATTGTCCCGCATTGGGAAGTACCATCATCGAGGTCGGTTAGCTCAGTCATGATCGCAGCCGTAACAAGTAAAACCGGGTACCTCTCTACCACCGTCAGTATACGTGATCGCGACCGAGAGTAGGGTCCCGTGGCTAGATGCTTAGGATACTTGACTTTTAACCAACAGGTCGCAGGTTCTAACCTCGGAGTTTGTAAAACTGCGAATCAAGTATAACTGGATGATGACGGCCAGTAGGCCAGAAATGGAGATTCCGGTCTCTCCTTATCGGTGACATAATTTTGCCCATAATAAACTAGCCGCTGAGAAGCTGCTGGCAGGGCCCCATGACACGACGGGATGAGCACGGACAAAAGGTAGAAGGTGGCAAACAGAGAGACGCACCTGGAAAACCATGAGTTCCACGTAGGATGCCAGCTCACGGATCATGCCATCACGAGCAGACGCTTTTGAGGTAACAGCTTGAACAGACAGGTTGATTGCATGTTCGAGGTCTGAACCGCTGCTGCGATAGCAGAGCATCTGCCAAAACACTCGCGGCAGGTAAAAGAGGATGCACTGCAGGCCCAGAACGAATGGCACCCATTGGTAATACACTGCAAGCGGGAAGAGGGAAGGAACAGTTAAGAGGGCAAGAAGGCAAAGGTCTTTACTGTCTTCGGTTAAAATCTGCTTTTACAACTACATTGTCGTGGGAAATCCGACTAGAGGCAGTCACCAACCAGGATGTTTGATAAATCAGTTTACAGTAACGGAATAACAAACGACTTTGAGCGTCTGTATCGGGATCGAGCCCACAAATGCTGCAGGCCTGAGTGTATGTG